TTGGTAGACACAAGTAGATTCCTGTAACCACTATCTATGGAATATGTATCCTTTTGAAGTGTATATGGGACACTTAACAGAACTGGCCATTGGTTAAGCCTTAAAGCAAGTCTCAACATATTTCAAAGGACTGAAATCATACAGGGGATGTTTTCAGTGGATTCACACTATAAATCAGCAACAAAAAAAATCTAGAAAGTCTCCCAAATATAACACACTTATAGTCATCGGATGAACAATAATGGAAATTTGAGTATATTTTGAGCTAACTGGTCATAAAAATACAGGGTACAAAACTCATAAGATACTGCTAAAGATGTGATGGCAAGAGCAGTGGTATAGTGTTTGAATCATTCTGAGATCCTAAAAACAGACCATTAAATAGTAAAATCAAAACAAATAACCTGTAACAAAACTGAAATAACAGATTATCCCCATAGACCTCAAGGTATGAGTGGAAGGGGACAGCTCACTCACAGCTATAAGACTTCTAACTCCGTTTGTGCTGGAAGAAGGAGAAGAAAGCAATAGTGCATCTGCTTCAATTGATAACACGGATAAATATAGATGTTCTATTTATGGAATATATTAAATATATAGATATTAATTTGAAAGGAGGATAGCCCAGTCTGAATAATAGCTGCAAGGGGGGAAGGGGAACTTTGAAATCTTCTATCCAAAGAGGCTAGAGCATCTTGGTTTTCAGGACAAACCCCATATGCAAGGGTAACTTCCGGAAATAACTTTCAAATTGAGCAGAATAACAAAATAGAAGCCAAGAAATAAAAACATCCAGAAAAATGTGGGAATGGAAGAAAACCCAGCTGATCTCAGATAAAACTCAAGGCCATAGAAAGATTTCACAAAAACAGTAGAAGTTCACTAGAACATTAGGTTGGAAAAACTACCATGATAAAACACTCCTAAAAATTGAGAGAAAATTATTTCATGTAATATTCAGTAACAGAAAAAGATCAGTCAAATCTCATACAAAGTCCTTATAGGCAAAAAGTTTGAACATACTTGTAAACACTGAAGGCATGCCAGAGAGGCATGTTTACAAAATGTGACAACTGTAACCTGATATTTAGATAGAAATATAATAGTTACAAGATATGAATAAGCACATTACAACTAAGAAAAGTCAGAAATGAGCTAATTATTTCATAAATGACTACAAGATAACAGATCAGGCCTTATAAGAGGGTAAAGAAACTTAGAAAATGCAGTTTAAGAAGTTGAGCAAAATTCAAAAAATTAAGATTTTCTATAGAAGAAAAAAGAGTGAAGCAGAACAAATATTATAATTGGAAACATTTGCTGACAAAAGTTGATGCCAGGAGGTTAGTTAATTTCTTATTGGGAACATAAGGGAGTTCCTGTATGATTGTATGAAGTACTATTGACTCTTAAGTGGTGGAGGTTAGGGATGCTGACTCCTGTGCAGTTGGAAATCTGCATATAACTTTTGACTCTGGAAAAATTTAACAACCAATTACCCACTGTTGACTGGAAGCCTTCCTGGTAACAAACAGTTCATTAACATATGCTTTGTATGTCCTACATATTATATTCTTAAAGTAAGCTAGAGAAAAGAAATGGTATTAAAATAATAAGAAAGAGAAAATGCATTTTTAGTACTGTGCCATATTTATCAGAAAAAAAATCCACATATAAATGAATCTGCACGGTTCAAACCCACATTGTTGAAGGGTCAACTATATAAGACCTAGTTATTTGAAGATAATAAAGGAAATTCGTGACATAACAGTGGTTATGATGAAAAATGAAAATGAAATTCTGAGGTTAGAAAAGTGAACATATTAAGTATGATAACAGGAAGTTAAGTGGTCTTGAGTGTTTATTTGAAATTTGTGGCCATGAATTCATAGTGAAAAATCAGCATGGTTGCATGTTTTTGTCCAATGTATAGTTCCGTAGTTCTGAATCAAAGTCAAGACACACGTATTTATTTGAAGTTTTACCAGGTATGTATCAAGAAAGGAGAGAAGTGAGGAATTAAAATGTTGGATGATAAGCTGTGTCACTAGAGACAAAACATGAAGAACAGGAGAAATAGCAGAAATAGTGGACTCAGTGGATAAGACATCTCAATAAGATCAAGAAGTTGCCAGAATGAGTTCTATTAAACTAGAGGGGTTCAAAGCACAAAAGGTTATGTTTGGAAAATGGGGGGGAGAAGTAAAGATTTTGGAGTAGTATAAAAGACTGGATCCAGAGAGGAGTATGATACCTGAGTTGGTGAAGTCGGGGTGGAAGAACAATCTCTAGAAATGAGGCAAATAATTGGGAGGCTAAACTGCTGGATGGATCATCTATGTTTGTAGAGTCACTGGAAATCGTGATGTGGGAAAAGAGTATGTTAAAATTATTATGAATGGGAGATTATTAGATTGAGAAAATGGTAAAGTTTGATGTCTTGAATATTTTTTATAAGTGCTCCATCCTAATCTGAACTCATTATGGCACTGTTTTGTTACAAGTCTTCAGTGGTCCCCTATTTACCAGAAAACTCCTCTTTCTCTGGTATAGGATGGTTCTAGCATGGCACTATAGCTTTATTTTTCCTCCTCATCGTGTTTTCTTAGCTGTAGCCTGCAGAGGTTTTTTTGTTTCACGATGTGTCTTTCACGTCCAGTAAATATATCTTTGGGCACACTTTCTCTAACACTATGGCCATCTTTTTCCTTTCCTTTTCCATCAGCCTATGCATATTATACTCATTCTTCTAAGATCTTACTATTTTTTTTCCTAAAGCATTTTCTTCAACTTATGTAAGGCATTTTATTGCTTTATATATGCCTTTCACTTCTCTGTTGGCACCTTTCTTTGAATTACCGTTACTTGCATGTGTCTTCTGCCTTCCTCATGGACTCTTAAGCACCTTGAACATAAGAACTATGTCTAACTAAATCTGTCTAATCAGTCTATTTCATGTGGCGCTTAGCATACTAGTTTTTCCACAGTTGAGTTGCTCAATTAAGTTGAGTTATACATCTTTTTAGTTTTCTAGACTTTTTGTTGATATTTCAACCAAATGAAATTTTTGCTCAAAAACAGCAGTAAGGACTTAATTGTTTCTCATCTTAGAGTCAGCTACGTCTATTTTCATAATGCTTGTTTTAGTTTATGTGTAATGTTATTGATTGGTTGCATGAGATACTTAAATGAATTTAGTTTGTTGGTGTGGTCACAATGTATCCATTTAATAATAAAATATAATAACTTTTGGAGGGACTCCCTAAACTAGAGTCTTAGGAGCGATAGAGAAAGGGTTACTTTGTATTTCCAAAGTGTAAGGAGAATACTTGACATGAAAACATTTTCATCAAATCAGTGGATTAATACAGTTTTAAGACAAAATTCTCCAGACCTATCTACCTATCCCTTTCCATTTTCATGGTTTTTTTTATGAGAGTGGAAGAACTGATGTTTTGGAATGCAGGGATGGGAAAGAGGTGAGACATCAAGTAAGTGTCAGAGAAGGTTTAATTTAATTGTTGTTCCACAATATTTTTGTATATTTTACGTATATCTAATTATATCTAATTATACATATTTATAGCATATCTATATGTAAAACATATAATCTATGTAGAAGGCTAATATGCATATTAATAATGTGTGTATGTCTATGCATATATATGTATGTATGTTTATATGGATATACCATATCTACTTAAATAAAATGTTGAAGCTGGCAAAACAAAATTAAAATTGGTTAGATATGTTTATGTTTTGGAAAAACTACGAAGAAAGGTAAGAGGATGGTAAATACAAAAATCAAGTTCTCCTTAAGGCGAAGGGGCAGGGCTGGTGATTGGCAAGGGGCACAAGAGATGGAAATGGGCATTTAACCTGGCAATTTCCTTTTTGAATGTTTATGTGTTTCAACCTAGACATGTCTTTCATATTAATCTTTAGGTGTAATGTATTTTGCAATTAAACAAGGTTAACTTTCAGAGGAATCTGTGGTTTTAGTCTTAAAAAGAAATATGCTTGCTCATCTTAGTATTTCTTGCATGTATGCATAATGATGTAGCAATTTGTAGAAAGTCTGTGTGTGTGTGTGTGTGTGTGTGTGTGTGTGTGTGAGAGAGACAGAATTACTTACTGGTTAGATTAAGTGTTATTTATCTGTCTTTTCTATTAGGACTAGTTTATTGTAACAATTCTTTAGAATAACAACAGCATGGTTTATTATAAAAAGTCATATTTTATAAATAAAGTTAATGTCAGTTTTTCCCCAAATACCTTTCTAGTAAGAAATTTGTACATAAGGACATTTTATTCATACGTATGTGTATATACCTATGTACATATACACACATTATACACACATGTGTATAGTTATTGAAACATAGAAATACAAACACAGTCCCATTTTAAAAGTTTTAAGTCCATGTTTATAACTTTTGATCAATAAGGTGTTCATAGTTATAAAGCAATGTATTTTTAAATTAGGAACCTCTCACTTGTGATCAGTCTTTATCTTTCTTTTCATTTCAGAAATGTCATAAAATGTGATTACTCTCTTCTTGTGCAGTCATTATTTTAGTTAAAAGTTTGTTGAAAATCCATTTAATGACTAGGCTTTTAATCTATTCATAAGTATTTCCTTTTTTAAACTATGAGCCTTTAATTTTATATTTGGAAAATTTTAGTCCACTTGCATAGAATACTCCTTCCCTATATTCAGCATACACGAAATCTGTTCAAGTGATGCAAAATACTTTCTTAAATAAAATTTCTAAGATGTTTATCTGACAAAATATAATTGTGAGACTTCCAAATAAATACCACCATTTAGTCTAGCCATATATAGATTTGTAGACATCAGTATTTGATGATACAACTAATATATTGCACTTTTAAAACTTTTCAATGTAATGAACCTTATGGATTTTAGTTTTCATTCAAATACATTGGGAAATACTGTCAATACCATTTACTAATTACCATTTTTCAATAAATTACAGCTAAACATTTACCATTTTGGAGTGTAAAGTATGTCATCATGGCAAAGTTTCGAAGAAGGACTTGCATCATTTTGTCACTTTTTATTCTATTTATTTTCTCCCTAATGATGGGTTTAAAAATGCTGAGACCAAATAAAGCTACTTTTGGAGATCCTTTCGGACTTGAACTTCTTCCACTACTTCATCAACAAACTCGCTTAGGGAAAAGCTTCGATTCCCAAAACAATGACAAAATCAACCGTGAAACAAGTAACAAGAATTTAAAAAGTGTTGAAATCACTATGAAACCTTCCAAAGCCTCTGAACCTTACCTGGAAGAGCTACAACCTCTGAATTATTATTTACATGTATTTTATTATAGCTGGTATGGAAATCCACAATTTGATGGTAAATATATACATTGGAACCATCCAGTCCTGAAGCATTGGGACCCTAGATTAACCAAGAATTATCCACAAGGGAAGCACAGTCCCCCGGATGACATTGGCTCCAGCTTTTACCCTGAGTTGGGAATTTACAGCTCTCGGGATCCTTCTGTCATTGAAACTCACATGAAACAAATGTACTCAGCTTCAATTGGTAATTATTTTTATGTGTGTGTGTTTAGATATATGATCTGTGTGTGTGTGTGTGTAAATGTAGAACATTTAAGTTACTAATTACTCTTCACATTGTTATTAATTATAATCTTAAACTTATAAACTCTAAATTAAGCTGCATGTATGTACTTACACATCCAGGAAACCACCTTTTAATAGTATTTGCATTGTATAATTTATAATTTTTGGAACATTTCTGGATATATTTTTATTGATTTCTAATTTAACATTAGAAATTTAAGAATTGAATTAGAAATTAGAATGGAATTAGAAATTCAATTAGAGTAGAATTGAAATAGAAATAGACTTAGATTTGAATTGTGACCTACATAAGATACGTTGGATTCTCCCACTTCAAGTATACAGCTCAGTGATGTTTCTGTAAGGTATACACCTGTTTAAACATTAGCCCAACATGAAGTAAAATATTCTATAGCCCAGAAACTTTCGTCATGCTTCCCTCTTGCACCTTCATATTCTTCCCCAGGAAACTGTGAATCTAATTTCTCTCACTGTAGTAGAATAGTTGTTAATGCTCTCTTACTGTGTGAAAGTAGAATCATCTAGTGTGTGTGTAGGTGGGCAGAGGGGTCTTTTGCTCGGCACATCATTCTTAAGTTTACCCATGTTGTTAACTATGTCAGTAATTGAGTTATAATTATTGCTGAGTAGTAATCCCCCATTGTATGATTATAGCAATTTGTTTCCACATTCATCTTGATGAACATTTGGACGGTTTCAGATTTTTGGCATGTAGTATATCATTTGGTCTTGTTTTTCTGTTTTTTAAAACTTGTCTAATCTCTGCTTTTTAAATCTGTGCTTATTTATATTTAATAGAATAATGATATGGTTTATTTTAAATGTTTGTTTGCTGTTTTCTATTTATACTATCCTATTCTTTTTTCTTCTTTTTCTGCCTTCTTTTTTATAGGATATGTTTATCCCATTTTTTTCTTCTGACTTACTATATATTCGTTTTATTTTATGATTGCTCTAAAATTTACAGTATGCACTTTAACTTAACTGATCAGAAGTCTCTGGTTATTTTTGTTCCCTTTTTCCCTCAACTTTGTCTTCCTTCTAACTTCTGGCACTCCAACTGCACACATTTACATAGATTTACATACATTATCCCACAGGTAATTAATAAAAAAAATATATAATTGGGTACCTGAGAATTCTTCAAATTATTAACCTACCCTTTAAAATAAAAAATGTCTCTGCTATGTTTCCTCTCTTATTAGTGTCCCTAATACTAGGGCCACAAGAATAAATTGGGTGTTCTCATATTTTTATAGCTGTAAAAAGGGACAAACTCATTATTGAGCTGATAGGTATATAGAGATGTACAAGGCATTTCATGAACAAAACAATGTAGAATTCTGTGAATCTACATCAGGTATGCAAGATGACTTGTTTTTCTTCTGTAATTATTTTTTCCAATAATTTAAGAAAATTTAATTTATGTATATACTTATAGCTCCAGTTTCTATGTTCTATGATATAAAATATGACATGAAATAGGATTGGTAAATTCAGAGAGCATTGACTACAGTCTCAGTTTACAATTTACTTTTGGGTAGAGGACCTTTCAGATGTCTTTACTATTTTGTACAAAGAATTTCTATCACATTTAAGGCTTTTTTATTACAAGGTTGGCTTGTTTGTGACTTCTGTGCTTGACAAAAAATGGATATCCATGGTAGTTTGATATTTTTTTTTTTTTTAAAGCAAACCGAGCTTTATGCAATGAGTATTCACCCCACCCCAACCCCAAGACCCCCAGGTATTTTATCTGAAGAAGTAATATGAAAATGACATCCTTGGTATGTTATTATTTGTGATTAGGAAGAAAACTTTCAGTTCATATGTAGTTTTATGCCTGTCTTATGTTTATGAAGACCATTCTCCCTATATATTATTTTACTATGGCATAATATGTGTGAACATGAATTATTTGAAAACATTGTCAACAATACAATTATTTTAATTTTAAATGTTTACTGTTTCGCTATTGATCAAATATTTCTTTTGGTAGGTGTCATGGGAAAAATAAATCCTTTGATAGAAATAAAAGTGACATTGTAATCAATCTGTATGTTATTTTATCAGTTAAGTATTGAATTACATAATTTGTATTGAAAATTGACATTTAACATTCTGTAAATTAAAGGTATATAGTGTAGTAATTTGATATATATCAATGGTTCCATTTGATTACCATCGTAGCCATTAGCGAGTCCTTCTATCGCATCTCATAATTATTATTTCTTCTAGTGGTGGAAAAAAATGAAGATCTAGTCTCCTAGCAAGTGAATGTTTTTAATACAGTTTTGTTGTCTATAATCACTGTACTATGTATGAGATTTCCACATCTTATTTATGTATTAGTATCATATGTGTACCTTAAACAACCTCTCTCCCATTTCCCTACTCCTGAGCCTGTGGTAACCACCATTTCACTCTGTTTTGTTTGCATTTCATACAAGCTATCTGACAGTATTTGTCTATGTCTAACTTAGCATAATGTTCTCAAGATATGTCCATGTTGTTGCAGCTTGCAGGATTTCGCTACTTTTTCTGGTGGAAGAGTATTCCATTTTATATATGTATATGTATCACACTTTATACACACTTATATATATGTGCATGTGTGTGTATGCACGTGTGCATCTATCTATATCTGTCCATCTATCTGTTTTTATCACCATGTCTTTGTCCATTTACTCATTGATGGACACATTTTGGCTGTCGTGTAATGCTGCAGTTACACAGGAATACATATATCTCTTTGATAAAGTGTTAATTTCTTTTGGATTTATACCCAGAGTTGCAACTCTCGGATTATACAGTAGTTCTGTTTTTAATTTTGGGGGGAGCAGGACCTCTATACTCTTCTCCATAGTGGCTGAACCAATTTACATTCCCACCAACAGTGCACAGGGGTTACCTTTTCTATACATCCTTGCCATCACTTAACTATCTTGTTTTCTCGATGATATCTGTTATAACATGTATGAAGAGCTATTTCACTGTAGTTTTGATTTATATTTCCTTGATGGCTAATGATGTTGAACACCTTTCATGCCAACAGTGGCAAGTCTTCTTTGGAAAAGTGCCTCTTAAGTTCTTCTGCTCATTTTTTAAGTGGATAATTTGTGGGGATTTGTTCATTATTGAGTTACAGGAATTATATGTATATAATTATAGGTATTAACCCATTATCTGTTAAATGGTTTACAAATAACTTATTTGCCTTTTAATTTCTTAATTGTTCCTTTTGCATTGTAGAAGCTTTCAAGTTTGATGTAGTCCCACATGTTAATTTTTTCTTACTTGGGCTTTGGGTGTCCTATCCAAATGTTTAAGTCTGATCCATTTCTAGGTGATTTTTGTGTGTGGTGTAAGATAGTCCCAATTTTCTATTTCTGCATTTGGTTATCCTGTGTTCCTAGCATCATTTGTTGAAGAGATATCCTTTCTCCATTGAATATTAATATTCTTTGCTCCCTTATTCTTTATTAGTTGACTATATATGTGGGGGGTTAATTCTAAGTACTCTATTTTATTCTGTTGATCTAAGTACCTATTTTTATACCAGGATCCTACTGTATAATTAGTATGGCTTCATAGTATAATTTGAAATCAGTAAATATGGCTCCAGTTTTGTTTTTCTTTGTTATCATTGCTTTTTCTCTACAGGGGTCTTTTGTGGCTCCATACAAATTCGAGGATTGTTTTTTTTTATTACTATGAAAAATACTATAGGAATTTCTTTTTTTTTTCTTTTTTTGGCTTAAATAATGGAGGGTTTTTAAAATATATTTTTATTTTACATTCAGTTGATTAACATAGGTTATTATTAGTTTCAGAGGTGGAGTTCAGTGATTCATCAGTCTCATAAAGCACCTGGTGCTCATTACATCCTGTCACCTCCTTAATGTCCATCACTGAGTTACCCCATCCCCCCAGCCCTCTCCCCTCCAGCAATCCTCAGTTTTTCTCCTATGATTAAGAGTCTCTTATAGATCACCTTGCTCTGTGGAGTTCTTTCTTTCTCTCTTTCATTTTATTTATTTGTCAGAGAGCACATGTACAAGCAGGGGGAGCAGCAGGCGGAGAAGCAGGCTTCTCACTGAGCATGCAGCCTGACATGGGATTTGATCCCAGGACCCTAGAATCATGACCTAAGCCGAAGGAAGACACTGAACCAACTGAGCCACCCAGGTATCCCACCCTCTGTGATATCATCTTGCTTTATTTTCCCTTCCTTCACTAATGTTCCTCTATTTTGTTTTTTTAAATACCACATATGAGTGAAATCATATAGTAGTTGTCTTTCTCTGATTGACTTATTTCAGTCAGCATAATACCCTCCAGTTCCATCCACGTCGATGTAAATGATAAGTATTCATCCTTTCTGATGACTAATATTCCATTGTATAAAAATATATACCATATCTTCTTGGGACACCTGGGTGGCTCAGTCGTTAAGCATCTGCCTTCAGCTCAGATCATGATCCGAGGGTCCTGGGATCGAGCCCTGTATCAGGCACCCTGCTTGGTGGGAGGCCTGCTTCTTTCTCTCCCACTCCCCACTGCTGTGTTCCCTCTATCGCTGTGTTTCTCTCTGTCAAATAAATAAATAATACCTTAAAATACACACACACACACACACACAACACACACACACACACACACACACACACACACTCTATCTTCTTTATCCATTCATCTGTCTATGGACATCTCACCTCGTTCTACAGTTTGCCTGTTGTGGATATTGCTGCTATAAACTGTGGGATGTGGGTGTCCCTTTGAGTCAATACATTTGTATCGTTGGGGTAAATACCTAGTAGTGCAATTGATGGGTCCATAGGGTAGCTCTATTTTCAACTTTTTGAGGAACCTCCATACTGTTTTCCAGAATGACTACAGCAGCTTGTATTTTCACCAAGAGTATGAAAGGGATCCCCT